TCATCTCACTTGATCATTCGAGTGTTATAACTGGAAAGTGATTCGCTCATCTTTCTGTCCTACAAGTGATATAAATCTATGTGACAGATATTACGCTTTATTTTTCTATTTACTAATGTTACAAATTAAGTTTTGTAAATCGAAAAAAAAAATATCGGAGTCGAACTTGTAAGTGGCTTCGACTCCAACTCCGACTCCGAACCCGAAAAATTTTTCCAGCAAACCCGACTCCGACTCTAATGGAGTCGGAGTCGGAGTCGGAGTCCTCCGCAGGTCTCTAGGAAATATGCTAAATTCCACACACAGCAGAAGCAGCTATGTATTCACTGTATGGATGAGTGTTCTTTACATACAGCTCGCTTATATATACTGGAAACTAGACCATTTAAAATATCTGTAGTTGCAGTAAGTAGAAACAACCCTATATTCTTATGTCGCGCACTGATATAGTCGACTTTAATACTGTACTTTGAAATTTGTTCATTTCATTTAACTGTTGGCGTGGATGTGGGTGTACATGTAAATGGATTGTTTTTCACTATTCGTTACCCACATTAACACGCTTTAGTCACACTCTCTTGGAAAATGTCGAAATCTAGTAGGAAGTACTCTGCCAAGATCACGCAAGACTTTATTGAAGTTCTTAGGATAAAGAAGGAGTTTTTTGAGCCAGGTATGGATTTTATTTCTTCATTTTACATGCTAGGCTAATGATATAGTGATTCAATAGAAAAAAAATGACAAGGCATTGCAACGACTACTAAGATCTTTCACAAAAGAAAACAAACATCATAGATAAATTTCATTTTTCAATACATTTGGACTTCAGAATACAAGTCGTATTGAATAAAATATTATTGTTTGTATTAAACGAGTTTTTAATGTTTACAACGAAAAATAATCGTTTGTTGACTACGAATATCTCTTATTGAATTTACATGATGAATACACAATGTGATGACAATAAGACTTACAGCAACTGGAATAATATAGATGATGAATAGATTAAATATCTCTATAGCTAAAGAACTGTATACTATATCGCAAGATTCGTCTGCTGTATGCAATAAAGAACCATGATTCATAAATCATCTGAATTATTAAAAGTGAATAGGAATCATTCACATGAGATATTTATTTTTAACGAAACGAAAAAAAACCTGTAATAGTAGTGAAATTAAATCGATTTTGTGAGAGGATCTTTTAGACGATTGTTTCCTATTCATTTGCTACTGATGAACTACACGAAAAGACCATGACGAACTTCTATATATATATATATACATTTCGCTGTCAAAGTTATAGCCATTTTATCAAATTATTAAAATAGGTCAAGTATCGAAGTGTTAACCTAAAGTTTCTCGCGAGCTTTTTTGTCTCAAACTTTCAGCAAAAATAAAGCATCATTCCTGTTTGAAATAATAAATCTAGAAAAAAACTGAATTCTAGTCAGAACTTCGTCATTCAACTCACTTATCTACAAAACATATTCGTTCATTAGCAAAGAAATAATTGAGCGAATCCCTCATTAAGATTGACTAAATCATAAATAATATATCATTTTGGTTTTTTATTTTGTATTAAATTAACATATTTGATTAAATCTACATGGATGATTACGATTCATTCAATAGGCTAAATATTTATGCTTATGATCAGCACCAATTGAAATTTTTATGGAAAACAATAAATTTTTAACTAGATGATGTCCTTGCCGCTTACCATATGACAGACAACTATTTATTCTCACCCTCAAGATATTGAATATAAACATATTGGCTTAAGTAGTTTTATTTAACATTTGCAAGAGGCGTGGACGATATGAGTAGCCATAAGTTTCGATTACATACCTGAGAGTGAAACGAATGAGAAAATTTTCATTCGAATTCGATTCGACTCACACGAAGAATAAAAATAATCTTTTTCTTTTTGTACATCTTATTTGCTCTATACATTCTGCTATTTTTTTTTCTGTGTAAGTTATTTATTCTTCTATTTTCTCATCACTTTCTCTATGCGTAGTGTATGCATTCAGATTGTAGAGCAACATCCACATTCACACCCAGTGAATATCCATCTTTTCTTCTTATTTCGAGTCTTTGAAAAGTTCGAATAAAAATTCGTATTATTTACTGTTCTCTTATTTTCATCGAATGTTTAATGAATGCAATTTGTATATCTAATTATCTACATTTAGTCATCTTTATTAATGGTTTTAGATAACAACTACATTAAATGTACAAACAAATATTATACACCCGAAAGTCGACACAGAAAAACAACACAATATAGAATTATGTACGACCAGTATGATTGTTAATAAATCGTAATGCAAAATGTGCAAGTGTTCGAAAAACAACAAACATTGGAAATAGAACTAAAAAGTTTAATCCAATACTGATTCCAACATCAAAAAATTCTGTTGCTTCATTACTAATAAATGTACCATTGGGATTATTTCGACATGAAGGAATAATTGATCCATCGACACACTGATAAATTCGTTCACCTTTAAGTTGTAATTGAAGACATGCATCATAAGAATATTTAAAAAATGATAACCATTTTCCCCATACACCTAACCAATGTGATAAATTTCGAACAAAAAAATCCACCAACTAACATCAAACCAAGAAGAAGTACAGTTGCAACTGTTGTTGCATGTTGTAAATTTTTAAATGCTGCACCTAACAAAAGACCAAGTGATTCTGCTACAAGAATTGATAATAATTGAAAAACAAGAATAGCAAGAAAAATTCCAAAGTTTGAATTGATATTTGCCATCCAATAAGCTATGATAAGAAATAATGTTGGCAAAACAAGTTTGAGTGGTGCTTCAGCTAATGATTTAGCAACAAAATAAGATGATAAACGATATGATCCACTTGCACGTTCTTTTTCAATAATTGCACGTTCAAATGGAAATGATAATAAACCATGTATCATTGTTTGTAATGGCCAAAATGTCATAAGAAAAAAGATAAATGATGATCGATCAGGTATTGTATTTTCACCAAAATCCATCCATTCTTAACCAACATAAACCACTAATAACTGCTAAACCTAATGATTGTACAAAATTAAGAAATGTAAATTGACTTTTACCAGTTAATAGAAATACACGTGAAAAAAGAATTAACATTTGTAAGAAAAATCCAATAGACCATTTATTTTCATGTTTATTTGGTATTAAATTAACATTATCTGGATTAGTTAGATCACCTTCATTTCCAGATGGTTCAGCTAATAAATATTCTCTTGCAGTTAATGAATATTGTGATTGTAATTGATTAGATATAGTATTTACATGTCCAATTATTTTATTTTGAAGATATGCATCTTTAAGTTGTTCACGAATTTTCATATCTTAATTAACAAGATCCATAACATAATCAGCTGAATTATATTGTGGTGGGGAATGATAACCCATTGTAGCAAAATAAGGTAAAACATCACATGGTTTATCCTAGAAAGAATAAGAATGTGTTTTGATAGAATAAATGTATGATGATATTTACCATAAAAATAGTTTTTCCATCAGCTAAGAGAATAAGTTGATCGAATGATTGAAAAATTTGTGATAATGGTTGATGAATGGATGTAATTATTGTTTTGCCTTGCATTGCTAAATCACGAAGAACATCCATTAATGCTACAGCTGATGTACTATCTAAAGCCGATGTTGGTTCTACATTAATAAAAAAAAAGCAAACATTTATATTCAACAAATTCAAAAGTCATTCTAACTTACCATCAAGAAAAATAACGCTTGGAATTTGTTAACATTCAGTACCAATATTTACACGTTTCTTTTCACTACCAGATATTAACATTATTGGAGTATCAACACATTTTCGAATTCGTAGTTGATCAATAATTTGTTCAACTTATGCTAATTTATCTTGTTTAGATAAATTATTTGGTAATCGAAGTAAAGCTGTATATGTTAATTGTTGTTTAACAGTAAGTTTTTCAAAAAATAAATCTTGTTGAAGAACATAAGCTAATTTTCGTTTCATACTTTTATCATATCGTTGATTATTAAACCAAATATCACCAGTAACACCATTTAATGCTCGACCAGCTAATGTATTAAGTAATGTTGTTTTTCCACAACCTGACGGTCCCATAAGTGCAACTAATTGTCCTGGATAAATTTGTCCTGAAACTTGATCAAGTAATTTACGTTGAATAAATCGTTCTTTTGATGAAGGATCAATTATTTTTGCTGGAACATTGATAACTTTTGAGACATTATGAAATGTAACAGTAATATGTGGAGATAATGATGCTAATGCTCGAGAACCATCAAGAGACATTTGAACTTGTAATGTATCACCTCCACTCATTTCTATTACATAATGACTTTGTTGATCATCACTGAATTTCACTGTTGCATTGGGATCAACATTTGTGAACGCTTGATCAATACGTTCATTAGTCTCTTGAAGAGGAGGCATCTTGTTTTTGAATTAAGATGTATGTATGTATGTTTTATGGATAAAATGAGGTGAGAGTATTGTATTTATACTATACCAGTAGCACAACGTAATTTACAGATGTAGAAGAGGTAAGATCGTATGCTTACCTGAGTTATGTATTCAAAGGACGTACTCTTCCGTTCGTATTGATGGTTTTCTTTTTCTACTAGCAAATTATACAAGCAAGCATGACGAGTCACAATGCGTATCGGTCGTACTTTGAGTTTTAGAAACTTTCTATAAGTATGTACATTAGGCCGTAAGATTCGATTTGTCTATGATGTACTAAAACTTTTTATTTGTTTTTGTTATTTTATTTTAGTAAGCAATCTGACCACAATATTCAGTCGTGAGAGTAAAGTGTTATATATTATCTTCTATATTTGTCCGTGTGTTTCGATCGACCTATTTATTTAAAAGCAATTGGTTGTTTTTATATTTTATGAATTACACATATACTTTCATGTAAAAAAATCAGATTAATTTTGAAGTTTTGATTTGAAACACTTTATTACGGATATTTGAGACGAATAGTAGTCGAATCATGCTCTTATTGAAATGATCATTCATTAATCCATAAGGCAAGAGAAAACAATATACAAACGGATCAAATCTTGTCAATGCAATGCCGAAAAAGAATGAAAGAAAGGGCAAACACTTTGCTCTAAAAGTGTCTTAAAATTTTGCGAGACTTTTCGAATATATTTAATTCACGACCATTCAGAAGATGATTATCGAAACATTCTCTCATTTTTGATGATTTTATTTTAGTAAAAACTTGAACTTTTCTTGTTTTTTCAGTCAACTGATAAAAAAAAACTTACGCGCTTTCGAACTCAAAATTCTTCATAATCTATAGATAAATGCCTTTTTTTTCATCAAGTTGTTTATTTCTTCCACTCACGACAGTCTATCAGGTGATAAAAGGCTGGCTAAATTTGTGAATAAGTAACAATGAGCTCTTTGAAACTGGATTAAATCCATTAAATATACGCATATGATAAAAGTGCTATTTTTTTTTGCATTCCATTCTTTCATATTCACATTCAAAATATGATATTAAATTTGTATCAGTCATCAAATAAATGTTCAATCTAATATCGCCAACTGTACAGATATTTGAAAAAACGTTTCGAGTTCTATCAAATAATTATAGTCTTCATTTATTTGATGGTCGATCGCAGTCTGATGGGCAAAAAACATGATTTCAGGCTAATGCAGTTGTTCGTGTTTTGGATATTTAAAAATTAAGATATATCATTCTATACGTTTTAAAGCAACTGCTATCTATTTACATTACATAACTGAAGCAAAGTTGTGAGATCAGCTATTACGTTGCAGTGTGAAACAAAGATTCCCATTTCACAACCTCAAATTGTTTATCGATACAAGTACATGAAGAAAAATTTAAAATATAGTACTAAAATGGATGTTCTAGAAGAAATTGCGCCAAACTTCAGTACACCTTTTTCTTTCGTTTCTTAATCATAATAAAAGTTTCCTCTTATGCCTAAACATAAAGGACTTCAAGTTCTACAAAATTTTTGACTTTGTTTCCCAAACAGCTTTCTCTTATCGGTGCAAACTTAAGAAGACAAACACATATTTAGTCATCCAACTGCAACTGTCCAAAAAACAAAAAAGCCTGATGACAATTTTTTAGTAGAGATCCTGGTGAATTTATAACTATCTCAATGAAAGTCTTCTGAAAATTTTGCATCCGTGGATGCCTGTTTTAGAATTATAAAAGAAATATTTTTGTGAACAACAATTTTCGAAGTAATAAGACAAAACTATCGGACAAGTTTGTTTTTCTCGTAAACCTATGCTATCGTTATTTTTCAATTCAAAACAGCTTAAATATTTTCACAGTTCAATTTAATCCTTACACAGTTTTGTTCAGAATAAAGTTCTACATGGGCGTGGTTACGTCTTACGGAATTTCATTTTTCTCACATTGTAACATCTATAACTTCTCAATATTTCTCTTTAGCTACATCAGAGTTATTCAACAAATACTGACCGTTACAGAATCACAAAAATGGAATTTTTAATTAAGGTTGAGCATTGTTGTACGAAACAAAGCAACAGACAAATAAATATTATATGCAAAAGGTGTCAAGTTTTTAACAAGCTGTTAGAATACCAGGTCATTTTTGATCGAGTCTAGTTTCATCAAATAAAAGATTTGAAATATTGCCCGTTACGGAATTTCTTTTTTTTGACGTTTCAATAGGGAATGTTTAAGAACTTGATATCATAAATTATTATGACAAAAATCCATTGTGTTTCTAATCAATAAGTAGTACAAACACAGTTTTATCGTTCCAGTATGTCAGTCTTGCTCTTGCAACAAAATCACATTAGAATATCTATCTATTGTTCAGTCAACAAATGCAATGCAACAACATGAAAAACCGTACTTTTTACAGTGAAATCAGTCAATAAATCTCTTTTTAGATAATGCACTTTTGATCAGCCTCAGGGACCTTGAAAAAGTCGTAGAGGCATGGAGCGCAAAATTTACTTTTGGTATTGGCTTTGACGAGCAAAGACTTTTACCAAAATCAATAAGCGTCAGTAGAGATTAGAAAATCGCAGTTGAATGACTGAGTGGACTTGAATCTTTTAAATTTGGCGCCGATAAGTGTAGATAGCTTTTTACAGTTTGAAATTCTCTCACTTTTACCATATAAAGAAAACTTTTTATGTTTAGAAAGTAAAAGAGAAAGGCATCAAGATTTAGCACAATTTGTTGTAGTGCGTGCGTTGTAGAAAGTGTGTGCGTTTATTGTAGCAAAGTCTTCGTAAACCATTGAATTCATAGCCACTAAATTTCGTTAGCAAAATCGATATGCTCAAATTGCTAACTACCTATTTTTCATGTTTACATGCAACTCGAATAATATCTTCAATGTTGATTTTATCGATACCATTCATATTACATAAAGGAACATGGTTTTCTGTCTTTTTTGGGAGGAAATAGCGGGAACGTTAATCTGAAATATCATGCAATCTTGAAGTCTGCTATTTTCTCTTTGATTTTTTCAAAGTAATATTAAGTTATCAAGTAGAACACTAAATGAGAAGGTACTTCATAATCGAAAGAATCAACAATATAATATCTTGTTTTGTTAAAAACAAAAGAGAGTAGGATAATATGAACTTCGTTACAGTGACTATCGCACTGAACTTTCATCAACTTCGAAAAGTTACGTTGTAACGGAATCTCTACTTCCCAAAAGTTCACAGCAGAAATTAATACCTTAATGGGTGGACCATTAAGAATGGATCTCTCAGTCGTTTCCATATATGTCGATAGTATTAAAAAGTCATTCCTCTTTTTTTTCGTTAGTGATAAGACGTAATATTCGTATACCACATACTCGTTCTCAAAAGACATACTCGGCAGTGCTGCCGTTTGTGTAAACTATGGAGACTTCTAGTCCCATCAAAATTAACGACGCCCAACAAGAATTAGAATACTTTCAATACATATTTAACCTTGGTTTGCAAAAGCTGCAAGAAAATCAGAAAGCGCAAGTGCCAATTCAACNTCTGTTGCTTCATTACTAATAAATATACCATTAGGATTATTTCGACATGAAGGAATAATTGATCCATCGATACACTGATAAATTCGTCCACCTTTAAATTGTAATTGAAGACATGCATCATAAGAATATTTAAAAAATGATAACCATTTTCCCCATACACCTAACCAATGTGGTAAATTTCGAACAAAAAATCCACCAACTAACATCAAACCAATGAGAAGTACAGTTGCAACTGTTATTGCATGTTGTAAATTTTTGAATGCTGCACCCAAAAGAAGACCAAGTGATTCTGCTACAAGAATTGATAGTAATTGAAAAACAAGAATAGCAAGAAAAATTCCAAAGTTTGAATTGATATTTGCCATCCAATAAGCTATGATAAGAAATAATGTTGGTAAAACAAGTTTAAGTGGTGCTTCAGCTAATGATTTAGCAACAAAATAAGATGATAAACGATATGATCCACTTGCACGTTCTTTTTCAATAATTGCACGTTCAAATGGAAATGATAATAAACCATGCATCATTGTTTGTAGTGGCCAAAATGTCATAAGAAAAAAGATGAATGATGATCGATCCGGTATTGTATTTTCAGTAAAATCCATTCTTAACCAACATAAACCACTAATAACTGCTAAACCTAATGCTTGTGCAAAATTAAGAAATGTAAATTGACTTTGACCAGTTAATAGAAATGCACGTGAGAAAAGAATTAACATTTGTGATAAAAATCCAATAGGCCATTTACTTTCATGTTTATTTGGTATTAAATTAACATTATCTGGATTAGTTAGATCAGCTTCATTTCCAGATGGTTCAGCTAATAAATATCGTGTTTGTAATTGATTAGATATAGTGTTTACATGTCCAGTTATTTTATATTGAAGATATGCATCTTTAAGTTGTTCACGAATTTTCATATCTTGATTAACAAGATCCATAACATAATCAGCTGGATTGTATTGTGGTGGTGAGTGATGACCCATTGTAGCAAAATAAGGTAGAGCATCACATGGTTTACCCTAGAAAGAAGAAGAAGAAGAAAGTGTTTTGATAGAATAAATATATAATGACATTTACCATAAAAATAGTTTTTCCATCTGCTAAGAGAATAAGTTGATCGAATGATTGAAAAATTTGTGATGATGGTTGATGTATGGATGTAATTATTGTTTTGCCTTGCATTGCTAAATCACGAAGAACATCCATTAATGCTACAGCTGATGTACTATCCAAACCTGATGTTGGTTCTATATTAATAAAAAAAACAAAGATTTATATTCAACAAATTTGAAAGTAATTTTAATTTACCATCAAGAAAAATGACACTTGGATTTGTTAATAATTCAGTACCAATATTTACGCGTTTCTTTTCACCACCAGATATTAACATTATTGGAGTATCAGCACATTTTCGAATGCGTAGTTGATCAATGATTTGCTCAACTTGTGCTAATTTATCTTGTTTAGATAAATTATTTGGTAATCGAAGTAAAGCTGTATATGTTAATTGTTGTTTAACAGTAAGTTTTTCAAAAAATAAATCTTGTTGAACAACATAAGCTAATTTTCGTTTCATACTTTTATTATATCGTTGATTATTAAACCAAATATTACCAGTAACACCATTTAATGCTCGGCCAGCTAATGTATTAAGTAATGTTGTTTTTCCACAACCTGACGGTCCCATAAGTGCCACTAATTGTCCTGGATGAATTTGTCCTGAAACTTGATCAAGTAATTTTCGTTGAATAAATCGTTCTTTTGATGAAGGATCAATCATTTTTGCTGGAACATTAATCACTTTTGAGACATTATGAAATGTGACAGTGATGCGTGGAGACAATGCTGCTAATGCTCGAGAACCATCAATAGACATTTGAACTTGTAATGTATCACCTCCACGCATTTCTATAACATATTGACTTTGTTGATCATCATTGGATTTTATTATTCCATTGAGATCAACATTTGTGAATGCTTGATCAATACGTTCATTAGTCTCTTGAAGAGGAGGCATCTTGTTTTTGGATTGCGATGTATGTTTTATGGATAAAATGAGGTGAGAGCATTGTATTTATACTATACCGATAGTATAACGTACTTTACCGTTGTAGAATAGGTAAGGTCGTATGCTTACCTGAGTTATGTATTCAAAGGACGTACTCTTCCGTTCGTATTGATGGTTTTCTTTTTCTACTAGCAAAGTATACAAGCAAGGGTGATGAGTCACAATGCGCATCGGCCGTACTTTGAGTTTTATAAACACTCTATAAGTATGTACATTAGGTCGTAAGATTCGATTTGTCTATAATGTACTAAAACTTTTTATTTGTTTTTGTTATTTTATTTTAGTAAGCAATTTGAGCACAATATTCAGTCGTGAGAGTAAAGTACTATATATAATCTTCTATATTTGTTCGTGTGTTTCGATCGAACTATTATTCTAAAACAATCAATTGTTTTTGTATTTTATGAATTATACATATACTTTCATGTAAGAAAATCAGATTATTTTTTGAAGTTTTGATTTGAAACACTTTTTTACCGATATTTGAGACACTTGAGACGAATAGTAGTCGAATCATGTCCTTATTGAAATGATCATTCATGATTCCATAAGGTAAGAGAAAACAATATACAAACGGATCAAATCTTGTCTATACAATGTCGAAACAGAATGAAAGAAAGGGTAAACACTTTGCTCTAAAAGTGTCTTCAAATTTTGCGAGACTTTTCGAATATATTTAATTCTCGATCATTCAGAAGATGATTATCGAAACATTCTCTCATTTTCGATGACTTTATTTTAGCAAAAACTTGAGCGCTTTCGTACTCAAAATTCTTCATAATTTATAAAAGAATGTCTTTTTTTAATCAAGTTACTTTATTTCCTCCATTCACGACAGTCTATCAGGTGATAAACGGCTAGCTATATCTGTGAATAAGTAACAAGGAGCTCTTCGAAACTGGATTGAATCCATTAAATATACACATATGATAAAAGTGCTATTTTTTGCATTCTATTCTTTCATATTCATATTTACATTCAAAATATGATGTCAAGTTTGTATCAGCTGTCAAATAACTGTTCAATCTAATATCGCCAACTGTACAGATATTTGAAAAAAAGTATCGTGTTCTATCAAATAATTATAGGCTTCATTTATTCGATGATTGATCGCAGTCTGATGGGCAAAAAAACATGATTTCTGGCAAATGCAGTTGTTCGTCTTTTGGATATTTAAAAATTAAGATATATCATTCTATACGTTTTAAAACAACTGCTACCTATTTATATTACACAACTGAAGCAAAGTTGTGAGATCAGCTGGCGCTGTGCAGCGTAAAACAAAGATTGGATGTGGGTGTACATCTTCTGCTTCATGATGTCAACATCCACCTACACCCACACCCAAACTGCTAGAATATTAGATAATTTCTGATCAAGCCTAGCTTCATCAAATAAAAGATTTGAGATATCCCCCATTACGGAATTTCATCTTTTTTTTTTGACGTTTCAATAAGGAAGGTTTAAGAACTTGATATTATAAATTGTTATGACAAAAATCTATTGTGTTTCTAATCAATGAGTAGTACGAACACAGTTTTATCGTTTCAGTATGTCACTCTTGCTCTTGCAACAAAATCACATTAGAGTATCTATCTATTTTTCAGTCAAAAAATGCAATGTAATAACGTGAAAAACCATACTTTTTCAGTGAAATTAGTCAATAAATCTGTTTTTAGACAGCTGTCGGACGAAAAACGGCATTTAAAACGTCCAGGTGCGCGTATCCCAGAGTTTGTGACATGTTCGATAATCTATGGATTATCATACACTTCTGATTGAAAAGTCGTAGAGACATGGAGCGCAAAATTTACTGTTGGTATCGGCTTTGACGAGCAAAGACTTATACAAAAATCAATAAGCGTCAGGAGAGAATTGAAAATCGCAGTTGAATCATTAAGTTGACTTGAATCTTTTAAATTTGATACCGACAAGTGTAGACTTGTTTCAAAAACAAAAAGTCGACAGTTTTTAACAGTTTGAAATTCTCTCACTTTTAGCACATAAAGAAAACTTCTTACGTTTACAAAGTAAAAGAAAAAAGCGCCAAGATTTAGCACAATTTGTTGTAGTGCGCACGTTATAGAAAGTGTTTGCGTTTATTGTAGCAAAGTCTTCGTAAACCATTGAATTCATAGCCACTAAATTTTTTTAATAAAACTGATATGCTCAAATTACTAACTACTTAGGGTATACCAAAAGTTCTGATCACAGTTTTTAAAATTTAATAAAGCAATAAATATTGAATATTTTACTAAGGCAATATATAGTATA